CAACAAATATGACAGACACCCACCAACGATAACAACTGAAGTGTAGGCTCCTGTTTTGGACAAGCACATTTATAATGTGGCGGAGTGAAATAAGATTGTGACCGCTCAACCCCCGTCCCCTCTAACCTAGCAGAGGGATGTAACAGCACAACGTACAAACAAACTGAACAAATCTGTTGGAAATGGATTGACTCTACAGACGGACACGAATTACAAAAATTCACTAACAAAAACACAAAAGACAAATGTTATTCAATTGTTCGGAATACGAAGGATTTTCCCCCGCGCATTGATTACATTAGCCATATTCGGAATAACTTTTTGGATATTTTAGGCTTTAATGCTCTTCATCTTTTAACTTGTTTTGGTCTTTTGTTGGGCGTTTTGTAGCCGCGGGTATTAATAGTCAAGTAGTCAGAACTGATGTGTTGACAACAAATACGATCATTTATATAAATTTCCTGTTTACAAATCTATGAATTCTTCGAAATACTAAACATTATATGCCTCCAGTGATAGTTTACCTTAGCCATATTCTACAAAACGTTTTGGTCCTAAATGCTCTTCAACTTCTTCCTTGAGATAACCTTTTAAATATTGTCTTGTTTAGAAGAAACTCGCATCTGGCGTATAATTTATGGCTTGGTATCTTTGGTGAGTTTTTAAACTTTCTTTGTTTTAAAGCCTTCGATAAACCTAAAAAAATATGATGATAAAGGATTGATAAATAATGTCTATTTGCAAAAAGTACAAGCATTTCAAGACGAGACCATGTTAATCCAATATGAATCTGAACCCTGATTTGTACTAGATCGACATGCTGAGCTGGACTATCATCTTGCACCCTGTGGCTCACAAGATAACACTCTGCAGTATTATATATCGACCCGTTGTTCTGACTCCGACTCAACCAGTCGTTGTTTTTACTCATAAATGCCTCGTGTCTACCGTAGAAGTATCAAATACCAATCTTCAAGTCTGTTGGTCCTGGTAAAAGATCGAACCGATGATCCCACGCATTTGATTGCTTGATTTGTTTTTAAAACCACTTCAAGCTCTTTTGACTTTACGTGGCGGTCAGTTTTTATTGGTGGAGGAGGACGGAGTGCCAGGGAAGAACAGCTGACCTTCTGCAGGAAACTGACAATCCTAGTCAATTAAAATGAGTCGATCACACCTGTACCTTCGGGGTTCGAACTCACAACCTTATTGTTGACAGGACAGTGATACATCAGTCGGACTACTACGACAGCTCGACCACCGAGGCCCTACCTGGCACTCGAGCCAAGTACAATTCAACGATACAACCGACTATGAATTGTTAAAATCAATTACAATATTCTCTTTGTATTTTTGAAAAAGAAAACCTGTTTTCCATATTGATTAAAAAAATCTTGAAAAAAGGACATATACACTGAAAGTGTCTGTTCTCCATTTTCCAAGTCGGTTCGTAACAGTTATAGATATGTTAAATTAATTTTTTTTATCAAAACTTGTTTCGGACACATATCTTCTTTATTCCACGATAATTGCAAGAAATTGACTGATTGATGACTGTTAAATGACCAGTGGGAAATATTTTATCTACCCTGCCACCGAAAAACAAGAATTTCTCTTTACTCCTTTAATAATGTTTAAGTGCTTAGTGGAGAAGTTTAAGAACTTATTTTCAATCATTTGGTTTTACCCAATCTGGAATGGACCTCTGTAACTATGGGCAAACACGATATCACGAGCCCGTCGAGGAGAGAGGCTGTAATTCAGAACGAAAGAGAGAGAGAGAGAGAGAACTGTACAGCTAAACTCTTGTTTATTTACATCTCTGCATCTTTGTTTTTCAAACATAATGTACATACATTTCGTAAGCGATAATTAGCAAAGAATTCCTGGCCTAGCGGTTATCTTGAATTTGAGGGAAACGTGAGTTTTTGTTCCGTGTCGAAAGTCCTTCGTCAATCACTGCGTAGATTTTGTGTAATGAAAAGTATATAACATATCGATATTTCTTCTTTTCCTCAGTTGTGATGACAAATTAAACTGTTGCAGTAGTATATTCTGGCAAAAATTCTAAGTTCAAAGGGGCATAAATCCTTGAAAAATATTGTATCATAATTTCATTTTGATCAGTATATCTACATAGCATGTCCTTATTATCTACAAAGTTACACAGTAGTATTTTAGGCAAAAATTCTAAGTCCAAAGGACTCATAACTCTTAGAAAAAAAATGATTCATAATTTCATGTTGATCTGCTTATCCGCATAGTATGTCCTTATTATCTACACAGTATCGTGAAATTCTGATGTGTGGTTTCAGACAATTTGCGATGACAAACTGTTGCAGTAGTATATTTTTATCAAAATTCTAAGTTCAAAGGGGCCTAACTCCTAGAAAAAATTGAATCATTATTTTCTGTTGATATGCACATCTACATAGTATGTTGTTATTATCTACAAAATTCCATACAATTCCGTTGTGTTGTTTCAGAGGCGTTGCGATGAGAAGAACGGTACTGACGACCAGACCGACGGACGGACTTACGAACTGAGGACTGACGGAAGGAGGGGTCAAAACACTATACCCTACGTAATTTTGTTGCGTAGGGTATAAAAATACGAAAAAAGTTGCGAGTGTTAACAGATTAGCGATTTTGGGAATATATCTTAGCTTGAATATGAAAAAGTCATGATGAAAATGAAGTTGTAAAAACTTCTATTTGTCTGTTCAAAGTTAACTTTGAAAAGTTTTTTCAAACCACGCTCAAGTGCGACTTCTGAACAGCAAATGTCAGAAGTGCACTTTAGACCATTGTGCACATATACACAGACTCTTATCATTGCTTTATGATTTCTTTCAAAAGTCCCTCTGTATATGTATTTTTTTTGTATAAGATTCCGCCACATCCATAAAGTCTATCATCTTAAGTATGAATGAAATACTTGACACTGGATTTTTAACAAACATCAATTAATCAATCAAATTTAGATCAATGAGCTCTCCTTCAGTTTCCGGTCAAAAACCCGGTTGGAAATTTGTATTTTCACATAGTTCATAGGTTTAAAGTTTACAAACATAACTGAATGATATCTTGTGAACTATGTTATTCCGTTTTATTGACAAGATAACGGAAAAGGACGATTTCTACCCTGAACAATATGTATATTTCTTCTTGAAATAATTCATTATTTCTCAGTCATTTGTATTTTAATACTCTAATTTTAACATTTGATTTACCTTATTCAATATTACTTTTTGTTTGTGTACATGTATGTAAACTCGGCTTTTTACAGGTTTATCTATGTGACCATCTCACTGTGCCCTGTTTATTTTTGTTTTCTTAAAATTCATAAAATTCTGTTGAACATAAAAAATCAACTATATTAGATATAAACATCCTCTTTGTCATGTTTAATATCTGCTAATAGAGCCTCATTCTTTGAAAATATCAAAATAAATATATGAATTGCTCCATGTCAAAAAGTATAAAAATATGTATACGGGAGACAGTCTACGACAAAAAAGATAGACGAAAAATGCACGTGTCAGTAAATACACATTTAGATGAAACAGAAAATAAATGATACCTTATTTATTTTCGGGATTTGTTTGGATAAAACTAGAGTGTGGCAAGCTTTTCGAATATCAAGAAATATATCCAAACTGACAATGTATGCGAAAAACTTTAACATTTCAGTAGGTTTGCAGTATTTGGAATATTCCCCTACAAAAGAAATTTATTTCTTCTAAATTTGCAAAGAAAATGTCGCTTGTTTTAACTCAAAGCGACTGGCTATACTCTTGTACTAGATTTAGTCAGCAAAAGTGGGTTTTTGTTTTCAAAAGACGAGATTCAAATTGTTACCATTTTCGAATACGAATCAAAAGACATTTATTACATTTATTACATCTAAGGAAATTTACTAGCTTTGATATTTCACAAGAAAAGCCAAATCTTGTTGTTTGACCTATATAGGCCAAACATACTTGCATAATACAATAATCTTTATTGTCTATATCATATCTGGCGCTTTACAAATATGATAGTCAAATTCTTTTTAAAATTGAGCCTACATGTATTGGACTTTGCTATTTCTTGTAGAACCCTTCTTGTCATAATGTTCCTCACATATTTTTGTGATATCTGAGATGTGAACTTTGGGCTATAGCGTATTGGAGCAAAACGTACGTTCATACCAATGCCGTTGTGCAGGATTTCATTTGCATGTCACGACGGTACTTATAAATAGTGGTCGGTCAGTTTGATACGTATCCAAAGAGTTGGATATGTTGAAGTTCTATTATACGTTTCTGAAGGACTTTGCTCGAGAGTACTGTTGAATGTACCATTTTTAAAGAATAATGGGGACCAAACTTTGTGGGACTGCTTAATTTACATCTGTTTATTTCTGAATGCCTCACTTAAACTTAATATATAACTTCTTTATGTTTAGCATAGATACAACAAAGGTGTACATAATCCTTAAGCCTATGTTTCGTATCAAAGATTTTTTATTTCATGAGGACCAACAACAATTGATAACAGTATTTCTATAGATTGGTGGTGATATTGATTTACGAAAAATTAGGGTGTACCCCTGAAGGGTAATACGACATATGACATTGACTCCCATTATCGTTCAAAAAGAGTACACCGAGTAAAATATTCGATTGGGATTATTGTGGCATAGCATATACCCCTAGATGCGTTTTTATTTTAGCTTTTTCCTGTATAAGGAGTTCCAGGTTATACACATATACATCTTATAGTCAAACAGCCTGAAAAATGCATGTGTGTCGTCCATCTGATCTTATTTGCATTACAACGAAAACTGGATAGGATCTATTTCTTTTGTCACTACTATCTTGATGAGTTCAATATGATACTGCGTTTAGGTGTCAAACATAAGTGTTAAAATTTGTATTTGCTTACATGTCATAAATGTAAATGTTTAAATACTGCTTGGTCGAAAACACAGATGTGACCTTGATCTTTTTATACTTCCTGATAACATAATGGGAAATGGCGATGTTTAATCTATAAAGTATGTATATTCCGTCTTATTCTATTTGCCATGTTTGTATATTTATATATATATTGTTTGTAAACTTACTTATTTAATTTTGTAATGCATGTACATGTATAACGCATATGTATGTTACCTTTAGAAATAGCTCAGTCAAAAAAAGTATGTATATTCCGTCTTAATTTATTGGCCATGTTGAGGGGGCATACAGTGTTACCCTGGTTCGTCCGTTCCGTTCATCAAAACAATAATTTCTGTTATCCTTACTTTAGTTAGCCTCAACCAAATGTTATAAAACTTACACGCAATGCTTACTACCACAAAACACAGATCACGTTCGATATTGGTTGCCGTTACTTTTACTGTTCATGAGTTACTAGATATATAGTTATATAAGAAGATGTGGTATGAGTGCCAATGAGACAACTCTCCATCCAAGTCACAGTTTGTAAAGAGTAAATCATTTTAGTTCAAAGTACGGCCCTCAGCACGGAGCCTTAAAAAGGAAAATTGTTAAATCTGTCGTTTCCGTTGTCTAACCAAATGATATGAAACTTATACCCAATGCTTATAATCACAAAAAAGTTTAAACTACGTAAATCCTGCATCTGTATGTGGAAGTTGACTCTGCGGCCCATAGACACATTTTACATTTATTTAAACAATTGTTTTACTTCCTCTGAATTCTACTTAAACAAGAAGTAATTTGCAATTTTTTTTCAGGATCTCAATGCGTTTGGTAACAGGCAGTGATAATCAAGTTACATGTGACCAGTATAACAAAGTATATCATTAGATTGATCTCTCTGTCTTAGTATATTTTTAAGGTTCTTTGCACTGAGTTCAGTTTAGTGATATGCGTATACCTTCTGTCTGAATTTTAAAGATTAAAAAACCAGACCATCCATATCTACATTTACATGAAATGAACTGTAAGGTAAAATGATTGAAACATTTTGCATTATCTATATATAAATATCTTTCACAACTATAAGTGCATGGTACTACTGAAGCAATAAATGATTTACATTACTTGTTCACGGAGATTAAAGGATTTAATTTTCATTTGAACCTAACATTCTTCAGAATGGAAATGGAGAATGCGTCAAAGAGACAACAACCCGTCCAAAGAGCAGAAAAAAGCCGAAGGCCACCAATGGGTCTTCAACACAGCAAGAAAATCCCGCACCCGAAAGCGGACTTCAGCTGGTCCCTAAACAAAATGTGTACCAGTTCAATGAAAATCGACGTCACACCAAACTCCAAAACATATAAATGAACTAAGAATTAAAAACATACCAGACTAATAAAGGCAGGAGACTCCTGACTTGGGACAGGCGCAAACATGCGACAGGGTTAAATATGTTTTTTGAGATCTTAACCCTCCCCTATACCTCTAGCTAATGTAGATGAAACAAACACACAGCAATACGCACAGTAAAACTCAGTTTAAAAGAAGTCCAGGTCCGATGTCAGAATAGGTAACAAAAGAAACTAAGCAAAATGACAATGATACAATAAGGGCCCGGACTACAAGCAGTTGCTGACATGCCAGCTCTAGACCTCAATGAAACTGATTGAAAGATTATGTCTTAATCATATGAAAATCAAGTACAATCCCTCCCATTAAGGATTTAGTATCATACCATTATAAAATATATGAGAAGAACATAACCCGTCTTTGTCTGGCAAACAGTCAAACAAAGAAATGCATAATTAAATACACACAGAATGCTTATTGCAATACACGTATGATGTCAGGTTTTTTTTAACCATTTGTACTGCCTACTGTATAGAGTACCAAGTACAAATTGTCAAACTCACAAGGCCTTACTGACTTCTAGAATTGAATTGCGTTATTTACTTATTTGCTACGTCCAAATTTGCGGTAATGACAACCCTGCTCTATTCTTACTCCATGATGTAAAAACTACATGCTCCTTTTTTCTTCTGCACTTTCCTTCACTGAGATTCATCATTTATAACTTTCTTCACAAAAAATATGTTTAAACATAATTAATTATGCATTAAATACTATAGTCATGGAGTTCAATTTTTATGCTTAATATTTCCTTTTTTCTCTCTCTCGTAGAAATCTATAATCAAGGAACAATCAATTGAATTCATCAATTTATTAAAAGTAAAATTATATTTGAAAAAAAATCTTTTATATAACTTCACCCAAATCATGGGAGTCTAGGCTTATGTGAATAGTTTCTAGAAACAAAATAGAATTTTAGTGTATGCTCCTACAATGTATAAGTTCACCTTGCCCTTAAAATAGCCTAATACAAATTTTGAGTTTGTAGCCAATCCAAATTCAAGAAGACCAACACCACTAGACACAGTTTAACACAAAACTATGAAAAATACATAAACAAAGCCTTTCCTCTTAAGATATCTCGCATATTTAAACACAACTGGGATGATCCTACAGGAGTATTTTCGATTTGAATGCCACACTGAAATAAGATATGACAACAGTGGAACATAATAAAGCCATACTAGAAACATATGCATATCTAAAACTATATCAAACAATAAAATCCAAATTGTGTGCCTAGGATATTCCTCTACTTATTTTATGTTCTGGTGTGTTATGATGTGTATTCCAAAAGAAACATTGTCACTAGATTGCAATAGGAGTTCACCTAGGCTGTATTTGACAAAACCTTTCCGAATTACTGGTCCTCAATGCTCTTCAGCTTGGTTATTTATTTGGTATATTACCATTTTGATTTGAGTAATTTCAAGACGAAAAGCGAGTGAGACGCTCAAAATTATAAGCACGGTGCCTAATGAGGTTTTTTACAATGCATTCTTTTTGGAAATCCATACAAATACAAAAAAAATGTAGCTTTTCCAAATCTTTAACATTACGTTTAACAGCTGCTCAAATTTCCCTTGACAAATAAACATATAAAGTTGAAAAAGACAGAATCTGTTCTTCATTAACTCTCTTTTAAATAAAAAATCATTAAATTAATATTCCTAGACAATATGAACAAATTTGCATATTTTAAGTATTTTCCTTTCTAAATATAGTAAAATGATGGCCATTAGAGTAAAAATTGTGGTTTATTCTTTGATGAACTATTTAGATCGGACCTGGTTATTTGAGGAAACTATCTGATAAACAATATAAGTTGGAGATCACCTTAAAATTGTTGACTTTCATAAATCTTGAACAAAAATGAAATCAATTATATAAGATCCATAAAGCAGCAGAAATCAACTTTGTATATTTATATAAACGATAATACTTGTAATATATATATATATAAATATACAACTGCTACGGCGGCAACACAGAAGTTCTGACTACTGGTGATACCCAAGGTTTAACCTCCACCAGCACTGGCATCAACACAAACACAATTATGATTTCTTTATTTTGGGCAAATAAAGCCATAATTATGCATCCCCTTCACAAGGAGTGTCAAAGTTTACAAATTTATTCTACATAATATACATTTTTGTAACATTTTATAGCTTATCAGTTTTAGTTAAACTTACAAACTTAAATTGTTCATTATTTTCTCTTTTGTATGTCTTTTTAAAATTCTGTTTTGAACAGAACGATTTGTTACATATACTGCACATGTATTTCTAGCAAATCTGACATTATTTCCACTATTTCAAACGTTAAAATTACAAAGCCAATCAAATAAAATTCAGTCGAAGTTGAAAATAAATGTTCAATAAAATATTCATGCAAGTCTGCAAGTGCCTATATGCACATATCGTTTGAGCGATTGAGCGACATGTCCTAATTTGGTGTTTTTAAAACTTCTAGAAAAATATTGACGGAAATAAAGGATGAGGAGTGAAAATAAATGAAACTGACGAAACGATTGATTTAAAAAGAAAGGGATGTTCGATATAATGTATATTAAGGCCTAGGTTGATGTAAATATATACGATTCTATATTTTATCCAGTTTCCTAATCAAAGTTATTAAAATGAGAAGATATTTACTTGACAGCTTCATTTTCCGGCAATCTTGAAATGTATAATGAAATAAAACAAGTTAAGCGTCTTTGACCCACTTTATCTTTTTATTCGGATACTTGCAGATATCTTCTCAAAGTTTAAAGAGAACATTAGAAAAGAACCCGGATAGAATCAATAAGTTGGGTTGCTATAACCAAACAACCCGGATGTTGAACCAGTTACCATGGTTTCGAACCAAAGAACCCGGATAGAATCAAAGTTCAGACCCGGATGAAACCAAGGTTTTGAACCAGAGTGCCCGGATAGAACTTATTGCATTCGGAAATCACATGACTTTTTATACCTTCAATGTATTTTCTAAATCATTTATTTATTTTGTATATTTATATATAATTTGTAAACTTACTTATTTAATTTTATAATGCATGTACATGTATAACGATTATGTATGTTACCTTTAGAAATAGCTCAGTCAAAAAATGTGTGAAGAAGTGTGAAATTATGTCATAAAAATACAACTTTATTGGGGTCGTACTTTTTATGTCCGAACTATCTATAAGGTTAAGGGTGTCCATGGCTTAAGCACCTGTAACTTTTTATTCTGGTTTATATTTAACAGCCATGGAATTGAAAATACATACTCATCTTATAATAAAATAATAATAAAACGTTACAGTATTAACGTTAACCAAATTATATAAATCAATTGTAGAAAAGTGTCACAGAGCTATTTTGTTTGAGTCGATAAGTGACAATTTATTTTATCTTAAATATTTAATGTATAAGATTACAATAAGGTTCAATAAATAACAATGCATACGATATCTGAGAAGGATTGAATACATTTTGATAGTATTATGTATTTGTATTAAATTAACGAAACTTATTCAGTGAATATAATGTACAAAATGTAGGTAAAGATTTATAACACTAAAAAAAATCAAAGGATGTGAAGACCCTTAAGAGATAAATGTATAAATAATTGTACTTTTGCAATTGGTATATTGCATAAAAAATTTAACCATAAAAAGTGAAATCTACATTTAATCTATACATTTCACGTCCAATATCTCAATAAGGAATGACCGAATCGTCTTGAACCACCAACCATAAAAAAAATGATCATCATAATGATTCCGTCATTTGAATTTATGTTATACCAATTTTCATTCAATTTCGCAAAGAAAAGGTACCTATATAAACAAAATATTGTATAATAATTACAATTAGACTTATAAACGGGTTTGTACTAACATGAGCAACACGACTGATGCCACATGTGGAGCAGGAACTGCTTATCCTTCTTGAGCACCTGAGATCATCCACCAGTTGAAGGGTTCATGTTGTTCATACTATAGTTTTCTATGTTGTGTTTTGTGTACTATTGGTTGTTGTTTTTTTTTTCTTTTTTAACCTTGGCGTTGTCACTCTGGTATCTTTCGTCTCCCCCTCTTTTGTTTGTTTTAGATTACATGAATATGATTACTAACGTAAACAACGTTCAGCTTTTTTACTATATTCGCATATTTTGTTATATGATTTTACAGCTTCATCACAAAATCAATGATTTTAAATGATATTGGTTCGGTTCTTTGATATCCTTGGCCTCCAAATATTTGACTTTGAGCGTTCCTGGTGAAGATATATCAATAAAAGCGCTTCTGACGCAAGATATATATAAAGTGTTTTTTTTTTCCTTTTTTATATAGTTTGCCACATTTTCAATGATATGTTTGTGATTTTGTAAAATTGATTGGTCATGTACTTCTAAATGTTGCCACACATGAATGCCAAGGAATATGAAGAGTACAAAGTCATGAAAATCAGAAATTTAACAAATCAAAAGGCCTTTCCACTTAAACTAAGAAGTAAAATCACAAGAATACTTAAATCCGAGGAAAATTCAAAACGGAAAGTCCCTAATTAAATGGCAAAATCAAAAGCTCAAACACATTAAATGAATGTATAACAACTGTCATATTTCTGACTTATGAAGAAAATTATGGTTTGAACCAGGTTTAATAGCTACCTAAACCTCTCACTTGTATGACAGTCGTATAAAGTTCAATTATATTGACAACGATTTGTGAACAAAACAAACAGACATAAAAGGTAAAATGTCAAAAATAGGGGCACAGCATTCAAGATTGTGTTATAATCTTAATCACTTTAAAAACAAATAAATATGTAGAAGCAAAAACATATAGCAAAAATGAAAGACAAGGATACACAAATTTACCATAGCAGAATAACAAAATGACAGAATTTATAAGTCATATGAAACAAAGAAATACAAAAAAGGCATATAGACAAAGCACATTGGTATATGCTGAGAATAAACAATTGGGATATTCCTTTATGATTTGATTTAAATCCTCTATGATAAAAACTTCGACGAGTAAGCAACTCAGTATAGATCGGAATTTTAATTAAATTGTATTATTTCTTTAACGACATTTCTGGAAACTACGTACGCATGCAATTTCTTTCCAAAATAATCGATTGTAAATTCTTCTAATTTCATTATCAAATAAACAGAATTCTCCTTACCAAAGTGTCAAATTGGAATCCTATTTATGTCGCACTATGCCATAGTTTGTATGTTTCATAACATTATTAATAGAAAAAATGTTATGAACAGATTTTGTTCACAAGCAATCTTTGATTTACGAGGATAGATATTTTGCACGGTTCAGAACAAATATATTTCAGGTGGAAGAGGAGAAATTGCTTACTTATTTCTCCGACGTATTTAATACTTAAACTTATTTATTGTAGGTCTTACCTTACGAGTATGGCATCTGAACACCACATCTGTCATCTTTGCAAAGAAATAGATGTGTCCAATGTTGCAGCTGTTTGGTGTGCTGATTGTGAGACTTTTCTTTGCAAAGATTGCAAAAGGCATCATAACAGAAGCAAAGCTTCTAAAGGACATCAAACTATAGTCCTGGACGACTACAAGAAACTGCCTTCGTTTATAATTGATATAAGAAACCGTTGTGAAAAGCACGACGAAAAGTATGACTTCTTTTGTAAATTCCATGTAGCCCCGTGTTGCGTGAAATGTATTAAGGACAAACATAAAGTTTGCAGGGATTTGAACCCATTGGTTGAGGTTTTAAGGGATATCAAAACATCAGCGAAAGTTTCAATTTTAGACAAAGAGTTAAGTATTTTACAAGAGAATTTTGAAATAATAGGAAAACATTTAAATTCAAAAATAGCCAATCTTCAGGAAAACAAAACAGAATCGCTGAACGAAATACGAAATATGCGTGTCTCAATAAATAATCATCTAGATGAAATAGAAAAGAAAATAGTAGATGATCTATCTGTGGAATTCAATAAAATAAAACAAAAATCTGACAACTTAAACAGTGACATTGAATATAAAATGAAAGTCATTAAAAATTTGCAAAATGACCTTTCAACAATGACAATGTATGCGACCGACCTTCAAATGTACGTAGGCCTGCAATATTTGGAGAAATCTTCATCAGAAGAAGTTGGATTTCTCAACGAATTGCAAGAGAATGATCAATTGAACGAACTTTGTTTTGGTATTGAATTTTCCTCCGATTTGAAATGTCTGACAAATAGCATAAGGACATTTGGCACTGTAGTGATACATTCATCACCTGGCACTTTGAAACTAAAATCTTCTAGCGAATATCAAGTACATCTTTTAGTTCCACCTATGTTAACGATTGATAGTATAAAGCCGAAACTGAAAACAACATTTAAAATTCCGAATATTTTTAGAGATATAGAAATATATGGTTGCCAAGTTTTACATGATAGCAGAATTCTTATTCTAGATAAAATCAGTAGATGTATGCTTTTATTTTCAAAAGATGGAAAATATACAGAAAGTGTAATGCATTTCGATGATACACCAACTGACGTGTGTTTCATCAAAGACTTTTTGATAGCAGTAACTATTACCAAGCAAAATAAAATTTTGCTGATTGATTTATCACAGAAATCCAATACAAAGACTATTACAGTACCAGATTCATGTTTTGGCATCGACAGCAACGGGGAAACATTAATAGTGAAATTACCGGGAAGAAGACTTTTAACACTGGATCTCGATGGTAACATTTTATCAGAGGTAAACGTACCTGGACTATATTCTCTTCATACGGCACAGTATGAAAATAATATCTTCTGTACAGATCGGAACTTTAATCGAATATCTTGCAACACCAACAAGGGGGCCTTGTTATGGACATACAAACATGAAGACATTTGCGAACCATACGGAATAACAGTTGACAAACATGGATTCATATATGTTGCATGCAAAGGAAATGACAAGATTGTAGCTGTATCAAAAGACGGAAAATCGAGTAGAACAATACTGTCGAAAGATAATGGGATTGTTCAACCCGTTGCTATAAATATTGACAAAACATCATCTACATTACTTGTGACAAATCGTTCTAACGGTAACGCCTTCGTATTCGAAATTTAGAACTAAAACACAGTGTTAGCATTCCAAATGTATGGACGTTCAAAAAAGTATTCCTGTAATTAAGAGAAGTTATAATATTATGTTATTTTGTATTCCTTTTTATTTATTTAGCAATATCACCAGTTTCATGTTGCATTTAACACAATCACCGATAAAGATTTCTTTTTGATTTCTTGTTCTTCTTGTACAATATATCTTCAAGGGGACCAGTGTACACTTTAGTTAAGTGTGAAGTTCTTGTCTTACCCCATTTAGTGCCAGTCAGCCAGGTTATACATATAGACCGTGTGTTGTTCGTTCTGGTACATCTTTTTATATCACCTTTTTTCCGGTTGACTCCAGCGTTTGTGGTTGATATGGTCTATTGTACTGTCCAGTATTTTGCGAGATTCCTGTTTTTTTTCCTTTATATTTATTATTGCTTAGAATTTATTTTATTTCAATATTTTATCATCATTGTGTTGTCTGTCCTTATGGTAGTTGTTGTCTCTTTGGTATTTTGTTTCATGTTTTGATATATTTAAAATAATGCAATCTGCTATAATGGCCAATTAGACATCTATCATTTAGAGACCACAGGACTTGGATGTACGTAATTATAGGTCACCGTACGGTCTTCAACAATTATTAAGGCGTATAGTGAACTATAAAAGGATATGGAATGACAAACTGTGAAACATTTCGAACAAGGAAACGAACTGCATAAAAGAACGATTAAAACTAAACCAATAAACGAAAACAAATATGACAGACAGCCAACAACGACAACAACTGAAATAAAGGCTTGGCTACTTGTTTGGGATAGACACATAAAAAATGTGGCGAAGTTAGTTAAATATGTTTGTGAGAGCTCAACATCCGTCCCCTTACCCTCAAAATAGTGTTGTTTTTACAAAGGAACGTAACACCACTACTAGCCGTGCATTGAATTAAACCACACCTACTAACCCCATATGAAATATAAACGGTCTCCATGCGGTTGCTTATAACCAATCATATTCACAGAAATGTACAGCAGGTACGATAAAGGTGAACACATCACTCATATAAGGAATCGGTCAACAATTTTGAACATGCTGACTTATTTGTAGAACTTATTGTGCTGGACATTTTTGTGTTGAGTATTTTTCTATATCTATAATAGTTTCTGCAAAACACGCAAAAATGTGTAAACAACATCTTTCAAGGGCAATATCTCTTCTAAGGGGTCAACCGACGATTTCAACCATGTTGACTTATTTATAGATCTTTTTTTGCTGAACATTTTTGCTATATATTATTGCTCCCTATCGTTCATAGATTTTGATAAAATTCATAACATTGTGTAAAACAAGGTCATGCAAGGGCAATAACTACTATATAGACTGAGTTGACAACTTCGGCCTTGCTGACTTAATTGTAGATCTAGCTGTGCTTAAACCTTTGCTAATTTCAATTTATCTCTATCAATTATGGTTTCTGCAAAAAATAAAAAATGGCGCTACATCATGTTGCTCATAATTGGGCGTGAATAATCTCGCTAATTGAAAAAGGGGCAAGGTGTATTTATCCATGACACAAAATCACTTAACTGACAACAAACTTATATCACTGAAACAGCACCTCAATTGTTGTCCTCATCTCGCAACGAAGTTTTTCCGTTGAACTGTACGGTTCGAAATAAAATTGGAAACATGCTTTCTTTTCAATATTTTCCTAGAAAATCTAATTACAAGATTTATATTTTTGACATTTTTGAAAATGATTTTTTTTTGTATATTGATAAAAAAAGTAAGTCTTCAGTGAATAAATAATATATATATATAGTTTCTGGATCTAGTTCTCAAGTCTGTAACTGATAATTCTTAGTGTGTTATTTTTTTTATTTTCTTTTAAAAAGCAGTTTTCATACACGTCTTTGTTCTTCTTTCCACAAAAATTGCACGAAAGTAATTGATAACTGCTGAACGCCCAGTGGAAAATATTCCCTACATATTTAGGATATTAATGGGCGGTTATATGTTTCAAATGAGATAGCATTACCTTGCTTTGTAAAAGTCCGATACTCGAGTCACAGGACTAAGTCTGGTTTGTACATAACCAAATAACAGCCAAAACGAGAGAGAGAGAGCGAATTATCAAACTCATATTTATTTTGTCATCTGCATCTATTCTCTTCAATGCACATATATTACATATAATAAGAATTCCGGTTCTAGGAGTCATGCGAAACTTTAAGGGAGATGCGAGTTTTTGCTACATGTCGAAAGCCCTACGTAGATCACTGCGAAAAGTTTTTGTGACGATAATTATTTGATTGAGATTCCTTCCTTTCCTCTATATACAGGAACATTTCATTCGGACTGTCGCTTACCTAACCATAATGGTTAAAAAATCTAGATAATTTCTGAAGCGAACTTTATTCATATCAAATTAGTTTTCATGACTTTGGTACGTGTTATTTCTTTTCAACATATCCATATTATCAAACCAGAACTTTTTTTCGAACCATAGGTCGAATGTCATTGGCTAGTAATATCTTCGGAGACTGTAACGAAAAGCTACTTCAGCGGTGTATCGACTAAGTAGCAGTCGTTACATTACACGATGTCCAGAACTAAAATACCTCTTCAATTAAAAAACTAATCTGGAATAGGCGAAAGAGCCAAAAGCAGAATATCCCGAATGAGGAATAAGAGATATGCATGAATGAGATAATCCTAAAATTCAAATAAGCTCGTCGCTTTGTCCATGGAAATTTATCATGAAATCCGTTGATTGTATACAAACATTGCACTACCAAATCAGTTGGCATGTGATAACCTCAGGGACTATTAGTTCACTATTTACAATGTATCAATTTCAATACATTAGGTGTGCATGTTTGTGAATAAAATATCTAATCGAGCATCGTTTTGCTTTGTTGATATCAACATATGGAAATTTTAAACAAGATTACAATATATTAAAAGTAAGGTCATTCCTAAGATCTCCCATCTCCCGGTTGAATTTAACTCGACATTTCTATATTTCATTTTTTTTTCTTGTTTCCTCAGATTGTTGGCGCTCGAATCAATGAGTAAGAATACGTGAAATTCTAGAATTTAAGCTTAATAAATTTAAAAAAGAAATGAAAATCTTTAGCACGGGTAATAATCAAAGTAAAATAACAAAACTACCGACTCTTTTCACATGTTACACCAAAACTGTCAGACTACTCGATATAGGACGTATTGTCCTCAAATTACGTTTTTTACCATTATTTTTGTTTCTAATTTTTGAAAATTATAATAGATAGAGAGATACGAAAGATGAGCAAAGAAGGTAAGGAAACTAGTTATACAAATAAGTCAACATAGCCGTAAATGTTCGGTCGATTTTTTTATTTTTTCGTTATTACCCCATGAAGATGATTTGTGCTATTTTTGCTCATTGTCTTGAAAATAACAACAGATAAAGAGAAACTTTAATTAGCAAATATTATTATACGAACATGATCTACAAACTAGTTAACTCGTTGAAAACCGTTGGTCGACTCCTTAAAGGAGTTGATACCGTAATCGACCATTATTCCAAATTGTGCATTTTGGGGCAAAAAAATAACAGATAAAGAAACTGTAAAAAAAAGATCTTCATATTTGATTTTAGAAATCGTCGATGGACTATCTGCAAGCTAACATAGAAAGGAGATTTTTCTTCTAGAAGCTTTCCATAAAAATAATCTCTACCATAAACGTTATGATTTTTTCAACAAATTCGAAATTTGAGGACATTCAAAAGGAAAAGCATTATCTCTGCACTAAAAAGAAATGAATTTTTAATGAGGTTTTTATCAATTGTTTACTATGTTTTCCCTTTGGATGTTTGAACTTTCTAGATATATATAAAAATGGTAATAAAGATCAAAGAACGAGAATAATCTCTATAAAATGAAGGCAGGGATCTGGTGTAACAATCTATGACCAACTATTTAAGTTGGCAACAGTTCACATTAAAACCGTCGGAGGGATTGGAAATCGAATACCAAACCGGTTAATCTGACCTTTTCCCAATTTTATAGATTTGATATAAATGCGTGTTGAAATTTACGAACAATATTAAACAAAAAGATAATCATGGTACTTGCTTTGACAAATCAACTGTCCGGTATATCGATTTCTTAATTTTCATTTGAAACATTCCGATTTTGCAATGCTAATTAGAAAAAAAGACGGCACAATTTATAGGAAAAATTGCACCGTAGAGATGTACGAAATAAGTCTATATTGATGATTTGCTAGATGACAAAGTTTACAATTCAGTTCATTATTTTACTTCAACTTGCCGTCTAAAAGGAAATTAAAATCAATATACTCTGACACATAGGTTTCTGCTTTAAAATCATCAGGAATCGGCAACCTTTTTTATAATGCCGAATTATTTCACGATAAATTTCAATACATATTTTGTTAGGTGTCGTAGACAATACAGGTCTTTGAAAATTAACTTTCTTACCAGTTAACCAGTCAAAAGATTTTCCGAGTAACCTGGTAGACAAATATTCAATTTGACAAAACTAATATTTAATACTAAAACCATCAGGAAACGACATCTATTGATACAATTGGTAAAAAAAACACATTAAATAATCACTCTGTATTTTCAACATGGAATGACCTTGAGATCCTGAATTATTAGAAATCTATACCAGGAAAAGCAACAAACATTTCCCTGTTATACCAGAGATCAATAGTATCATGTTAAACACCGTGCAGTCGTACATTTGTAAGTGATATGAGAGGGAAGATTACTCAATCAAGTCAATTATAAACATCTATACTACAAAAATAACGAACTCCAATTTGTTAACCGGAATGACGTAAAAACGACGAATCAAAGAATTCAACTTGATATATAACATATATATAGGACAATGGTGTTGTTTAAAAATTACACCAATCCAGACCCTATTGTTTTCTCCATAATTGATATTACCAATATTAGATAAGTTCTGGGTCTAATCCGATACCGATACTTATAGTATATATTCCATGTGGATTCCGGTTGTTACCTGTTACCTTCTGCAAATCCCTCCTCTATCAGGAGAACCTGGAATTCTTCCAGTAGTTGTTTTATATAGTACACTATTTAACCAGTCTGTTTTCTTCGACCTCAACACCACTTTTAATTTTGTTTAGGTGTCGTTGACAA